ACAAGTATATATACTATGTAAAATAAGAAATCTAGGCTGGGCCTGCTGGCTCACGTCTGTAATCCTAGCACTTTGGGAGGCTGAGGCGGGCAGATCACGAGGTCAGCAGTTTGAGACCAGCCTGGCAAATATGGCGAAACCCCGTCTCTACTAAAAATACAAAAATTAGCCGGGCGTGGGGGTAGGTGACTGTAATCCCAGCTACTCAGGAGGCTGAGGCAGGAGAGTTGCTGGAACCCAGGAGGCAGAGGTTACAGTGAGCTGAGATCGTACCATTGCACTCCAGCCTAGGCAACAAGAGCAAGAATTTGTCTGAAAACAAAAACAAACAAACAAAAAAATCTAATTTGTTCAAGCTGTCATGTTTTAAGTGTTGGGGTGGCCTCTGCACTGATGACTAAACCGTGGCCACTGGTCAGTGTGTCTCCTTTCATCTCAACTATTTCTTTCTGGCTTGGGTTGTCTTTCCTAGGCTGTTCTTGAGTTGCAGGCATCTGGATTGTGTTCCTACCTTATGAAGGGTGAATTGAATGTGATCTCGTATGTTCAGGTGAACTTGACTAAGATGTTGGCTCTGCTAGTCTGTTTTTCTATGAAATCTTACTTAAATGCTACCTATCATTTTGTTGGCCTTTTGGCTGCCTGAGTATTGGGAGTAGTAAATGGTGGCTTTGATCCCTTCCTCAATCCTGACTCTTACCTCGATTATAACTAGCAGCTCAGATATTAGAGACTGTGGTTGTTTTATATTTATTCAGTAATTACTTACTAAGCACCAACCACGTATCAGGGATTGCGCTGAGTACAGCAGGCATGACCTCTTCCTTGGGAGACTCATGGTCCCAGGGCTATTTGCCCACGTGGCAACTGTCAGCCCTGCAGAGGGTGGACCATTTTTTTTGTAGTTCACCTTTGTTGTCGGACTTCTTGCTGTCCCAAAGAGTTTACAATCATTTGTACATTTTCCTGCTGCCTCCTCCAGGCCATTTATAAAAAATATTAAATGAGATTAGTCATAACACTAGTTACTTCTCCATGCACAAACCTGTCTTTTCCTGTCTCTGAGTCAGTTCTGTCTCTCCATGGCCAAACTGCCCGAAGTCCCACGGAGACTCATTATTTTTAAATACCTTTTCATGTGGAACCTTGTCAAAAGCTTCTGGAAAATCTAAATAGCTAAGAGACAGGCACTGAGCTAGGAATCAGGAGACCTGGATTCTAGTCTTATATGCCATTGCTTTATCATCGAACTTGGGGCAAGTCACAGAACAGCCTCCATCTCAGCTGCTTCATCAGGAAGATGAGAATGATTATTCTGGCAATCAACATCATAAAAATTTTACAACCATCAGCTGAGACAGTGTTATTTAAGAATGCTTTGCAAAGTATAAAGCAAAAATATAAGGGATCATTATTTAGAAAATTTACAATAGCATCTTCATTCATATGCAGGTTTCTCTCCCAGAAAAACTGCAGTAGATAAAGACATGGCTCCTCCAGCACCCCTGGGGTGATGCTTGTTTAAAACCAACTCCTTTGACATCTTGAAGGAATGCAGGTTTACATAAACAGTAGTGCCGGGTTCAGTGTGAGCCTTTGGTGTAGTGTGTGAACTCATAGAAGCATAACCACTGGAATCAATCAGACCCTGGTATGGGTGCAGCCTGTGCCATCCGCCAGATGTGTGACCTTAATCAAGTTATTTAACATTTTTTGTGCCACACCTGTAAATGGGGACAATATTAATGCTTACTTTACTGAGTTCTGAGATTTAAATAAGAAAATAAGTATATGTAAAATGCCTACCATTGTCCCAGACCCATAGTGGCCACTCAATAAATAGCAGCTTTTGTTCTATTTGTCTGTGTTAAGGGTCCAAGAGCCAGCAGCTGGTCCATTCTACCTAAATTTTTGGATTGCCCATCAAACATTCAGTAAATTCCACCATAAATTCCTTTATCCATGTCCTGTGTGAATTTTTTCAACAGATGAATAAATAATGCTTTTCTTTGGTTTTCTGAAAAGTTGTTGGAGGGTGAGGTGGGAAAAGAGAGAAGGAACCTTTCCAATTAGATATTTCCCACTGGCAGAGTGCAGAGGGTGGGGTCTTAGCTGCATCCAGCCTCCTTGCAGAAGGCCAGGCCTATGGAAACTTGTCCAATTGCTGCTTCCTCGTCCACCCCTCTGTCCCTCCCCCACGTCATCTGGTTTCCTTTGATGTCCAGCCACACCCAGCAAACCCCTCATCCTCAGGAGCAGGGAAGTTGGAGTTGAAAGATAAAGGAGACTGCTCAGGCACTGAATGTAATTTCATTTGGGGATCAGGCCAAGGGGCACTGGATGAGGCTTAGTTCCGCCAGCACTCCCCCGGGGACCCTGCTCTGGCCGACGGTGGCCTGAGGGGGCTGGAGACCAGCCAGGGCATTCAGTATCATTCTCTGCTTCTGCTCCAGGGGCACCTCCCAGCTGGGGATGAAGCTTGGCTGGGCCAGGGGCCAAGGCCATCATTGCGCGGTCAGACTTGGGTGGTAATCCCAACTGGTTTTGCACAAACTCCTGTTTCATCCAGATTAGGAAAGGACCTGGCCAGCGTGGACATCTGGTGGCTTGGGGATGGGCACAGAAGAAGGAGGGCTCTGGGAATCAGAGGCATTTCCATTTTAAACACTAACCATGACTCCTTTAACTGTTGTTTTCATGGGCTTAATGGGAAATTAGCAAAGAGGAATCTGAACTACATTTATATATTCATTCTTTTTTAGAATAAATATTTGTCAAGCTCAAGTGTTTGAGCACCAAAATCAAGAATGACTAGAGAAAGTCTCAGGAATCGTAGAGACTAGAGACAGACCCTGACCTCAGCCCCCTGCCTTTAGGTGGCTGCCACTGGGAGACACGGGAAACCCTCTGGAAGCAAGGACTCTCATGTAACTGGTGGTAGGAAAAGCATGGACTTCCAGAGTCAAACTGAGCTCTAATTCTCTCCCCAGATTTTATCACACAGGCCAGTTGTTTAATGTACCTGGGTATCATTTTTCTCATCTGTTATCAGTGCATCCGTTAGGACTTTGGATGTTGCAAAAAAAACAAAAACAAAAACAAAAACAAACCAAAAAAACCTTTATATTACTTTAACATAAAGAAAATATCTGGAGTAACTATAAAGTCCCAATGTCAGGCAGGCTTTGGGGTTACTTTGATTCAGTGGCTCAGCAATGTCACCAAAGACCAATTTTTTCCCGTCTCTGTGCTTGACCTGCCCTGGTTCCAGCTCCCTTCCTTGTTAGGAGAGGGCTGCCCGCAGATCTTTGAGCTCCAAGTTCATTTTACCCCTTTGAGAGTTAGGAAATACGGTCTCTTCTCTCTACCATGAGTCCCTGCTTTGCTCTGATTCACGTTGATTGGCTTGAGCCTATTTTCTCTTAATCACTGTGGCAGAGAGTAAGATCGAGCTGGTTTGTTTGTGCTCATCATGGACAACCTGGGAAGCAGGGAGTGGGTTCAATCCCACCCAAAAGGTGGGAGAGGGTGGAATGGATGCTGGAGGGGCACATGAGCCGTGATGAATGAACATTAAACCCATGGGATTGAGAGGATTACACCAATAGAGAATTATGTGCAAAACCACCTCCCAGTACCTGATGTCCACGAAGCTTAAAATAACGCTTAAAAGGAAATTTTAAAAATCAGAGTCCAAAACAAACCTAAAATCAAGCAAATAAACCACAAAATAACCTGATATTAGAGTTCATGGACTCAAGAGAAATGAAAGGGGGGAGCCTTCTGGGGGACCTGGTGTGGTCAGTTGTCATTAATGTGGTGTTCTTTCTGTAATTTAGTTCCTCAGAATGCCTCTTTTATTCTCCTTGATCTTGTGAGAGGTTAAAAATTACACATTAGAAATTAAAAATAAGAGTGCCTAATAGGAATATTTGGAGTATATTCTTTTTCCTTAGCTTTATTGTTGAAATCTCTAAAATTATACTATGTGTATCTTACAGTCCTGTGTGTGGTGGGGAAGTGTGATGATCCCCTAGCTCTCGCCTAACCACACTCTCAATAATATTTGTTCCTGATTTATGGGAGTGGTGTTATTAGCACTCACTGTGCAGTGGTCATGTTGGGTCTATGCACTCAAACACAGGATGGTTCCAGAGGCCTTGGCCAACATCCAGAGGCCAGACGAGCATCATGTAGGGTTGTAAAGCTGATGTCTTTTCTAGGTTAGTTCTCATTCATGGGGCATATGGGCAGAAGTCTTCTTTCCATTGTCTCTAAGCTGTCCCAGCATTTCTAGGAAGGACTTGTGGATGGCTGGGGAAGATCTACTCAGCTGAGTGTTTGCAGAAGGTTGTGGATGACTCATGCCTGAAGCACATTTTCCTGTAATTCCCTCATCCCCTTCCCTGGGGACGTGAACAAAATCTCTAGAAGGTTTCAGGACCTAATATTATAAGTATAAGCCACTATTTCAATGCCAAAAAGAGACCCTTAGTGTGAAACCTTTGGGGTTGGCCCCCTGCCTGGTTCCCCTTCAAGGTACAGCAATGACATCTGGGTAGCAGTTCCCTTCCTTACACTGACATGTTTTTCTGCTAACAAATGCAGCAAATAATATTGCCTTTCCAATGCAGGGTGACACTCTGATCTGAGGCAGCTTCAATAACATGTTGTTCCTCCAAGCCTCAGAGCCTCATCTTTTTCTCCAAAGACCAGCAAGAAAGGCATCAAATGCTTGAGCCTGAGGCAGAGGGAACCAGGGAGATCAAGACTGGATTCTTGGTGAAGCCCAGCTTGGTCCCCGGCTTCCCTCTCTGCCACTCCCATCCTGAGGCCCTTGGTGAGCTTATGTCACTCCACTCCTTGGCTTTAGCCTGTGAGCACTGTAGAGATAGAACTCATGCCCTCTCCCTCGGCTGTTGACAGGGTCTCTGGCTGAAGTTTGACTGTGGGCAGTGCGGGATCTGAACTCACATTGACTCTCCTCCTCTTCTCCACAGATCCGGGTGGATGGACCCAGGGGCAATGCTCTCCAGTATGAGACGGTGCAGGTGGTGGATCCTGGCCCAGTCCTCCGGGATATGGCCTTCTCCAAGGACCACGAGCAACTCTACATCATGTCAGAGAGGCAGGTAAGGCTCTTTGGGCTCTGCTAGACGTTTGTCTTACAGCTAAATACTAGCCTGTGGCTCAGTACAAACCTTAGGAGGCCAGCTGCAGAGAGGTGATTTGATTTATTTGGCGCAGTGTGTATCTTTTCAGTTTTGCTGCCTGGGGACTGAGGCTTGGTGTTCTGAAACAGGAAAGAAACGTTTAAAATATCAAAATATTGGAGACTCTAGAACAAATCCACTAACTTCAAAATCATGTGTATATGTTCAGGGCCAACATTTGCTTTCTTTTGAAGAAACGTCATACAGATGTCCAAATTGTGGGTCCAGATTTCCCTATACAAAATGTGATCTCATACCAAAGTCACCTTCCTGGCCCCCAGAAGCCTGTGGGAGGCAAGGATTTATTGCCAGAAGAGCCTAGTTAAGGGAACACCATGGTCAGGACCCAGAAAACAGAGTCTGTGTGGTGAGATATGATGAGGAAGGGCACAGCCTGAACGTTTGTGTGTACATACAACTCTTTGTGGAAACTCCAGCAAGTGCCGCGGAGCCCGCCCGAGAAGAACAGATATGGTGCAGGTTTACTGATGCTGAGTAGGAAGTCGAAAACGTGGGCTTGGTTCTCAAACTGAGCTGAGAAGGAAGTAAGTTTTTATGGAGTCCTTGAGCTCAGGCCAGGAGTCATATGTCTGCAGCAGGCAAAGGAAGGGGTTTCACCTTGGACATCCATGTATTTAAGGGTATTTCCTGCAGTCCTCTAATTCACTGCCTGGAGTGCTCCACCCCACAACACACAGCCCACCCCAAGTGTGGTGCAGCACCACCGAACCTCTGCCCTGTGGCCTCTGTGGAGGATGAGTCATTCCCTGGAGCTGTCCCTCCAGCCCATGAATATGTATGTGTTAGCTCTGAGTGGCAGCAGCAGCCATGAGGGGCAGATCTCTCCTCTTTTTCATCCTCGTCAGCGTGGCCTGAACTCTCTGGAGGACCCTGCTAACAGAGTCTGGATTGTTCTGCCTGGACCCTCTTGGCATTGTGGGGGAGATGAATTCCACATTATGCCACCCACGGGGCTTGTGCATTATGCCTTAGCAGTCATAGGAGCTCTGCCCTCCCCAAGAGCTCGATGACATCTTCTCTTGGTGTCGGACTCCCCGTTCTCCCAACTTTAGCCACACTGGGACCCATTGTGCCCTGGTTGAGGCTGCCACGGCTTGGGAATGGTCTCATTCCCAAGGTGGGGTAGAAAGTGGAGTCTTTTTTCCTGGGAGGAGAGACTACCAAGATGGAGCCTGCAGCTGGGCACAAGGCTTCCCATTTGTCTACATTCCTTGCTCTTATAACAGCTTCCAAACTCCCCACTCCCAGCCTACCTCAGAGGCCCTAGGAGCTGAGGGGAAGCAGCTTTCTTTGGTGGCATGAATCATCTGGAGAAGATCTTCACAAGGCATTGAATAGTCAGGATTTCTTGCCTGATCTGAAAGCCAGCATTTCTGAACCTGGGACTTAAAACATAAGAGGACTTTCAAAGATGGAAAATATAAATGGAGCCAGGTGCAGTGTCTTGCACCTATAATCCCAGCTGCTCGGGAGGCTGAGGCAGGAGGATTGCTGGAAGGCCAGGAGTTCAAGGCCAGCCTGGGCAATATAGCAAGACTTCGTCTCTAAAACAATAAAGAGAAATTTAAAAAAAAGGCATGAGCTGATAATATGAGTTATCAGCCCCCTCTGAGAACTGAGTCAGGATTCTGAGCATTACTCCTTCCCTGGAGGGGCCCTTCTGAATCCTTGTTCACCTCCTTGTCCTCAGCTATTTCCCCTTAGATGAGTAATGTGGTCAGTACCCATTTAGGCTTGGCACTGAGGCACCCTGAGAGCTCCATATTATGGGCACATTGGAAAGGAAGGCAGGAATGAATAGAGCCAGGGAATTCATCCATTCCAGGGCTGCTCCACACAGATGGGGAGACTGGCCTGCCACCCAAATGACCATTTCAAAGCCCTAACACCTGGGCTGACAGTGGTCTCCACTGGACTTGTGGATTCTTGGTGGAGATTTGTGGAACAGTGCGATGATTAAGTCCACAGGTGTTGCCATTGGAATGACTGAGCATGCATCTTAAATCTCATTTACTAAATGTAGTCTCTGGTAAGTTCCTAACCTCCTTAAGATTCAGCATTCTTTACTGTCCTGTGTAGGTGACAATAATATCAGATAGTTTTGTTCCAAGAATTGAATGAGATATGCATATAATAAACTTAGAACCATGGCTGGCACAGAGTAAGTGCTTGTTAAATGGAGAGACTTGTTTTTACGACTCTGTGACAGGAGTTTCCAGACACTGGCTGTGCTTACAGTCAGGCAAGGGCTCGTATTGAGATTCTACATGGTCCATCTGGGTTGGAGCACAGCAGCCCAGGTGAGGCCAAGGTAGGCAGGGAGCAAAAATCCAGTCCCGGGGGAGAGCCCATAAGGAACCCAGGCCTGCTTGACAGACTGGGCATGTGGAATAGAGCTCAGGGCCAAGCAGCTTGGTAAATATACCTGGGTATTTTCCAGACCCAGCGCATCAAGACTAATTCCAGCCTCCTTCAGGTGGTGGGTCTCCCTCAGCCATGATGGGTCAGAACACTTTGCACACCGTGTCTGCAGGCTAAGGGCATAGCTTGGCCATGATGTCAGCGCGGCCTGGAAAGCACTTTCCTTTCTTATCTGACTAATTTTTCCTTGTCCTTCAAAACTTAGCTTGACTGTCACATTCTTCATTGGGTTATTCCTAGCCTGCAGTTAGACACGTCTGTAGTAGCTCTTGTCAGACCAGACTGTGATGATGACTTCCTTGTCTCTGTTGCTGCCATGCCTTGCCATGTGATAGGCCCCTCATAATTTTTTAATGAATGAGTCCCCAGTGCCTTCACTGAACCAGAATTGGAAGAGAGAGGTACCAACACAAATAACCTATTGCTTCAGTTAATTTCAAAGCTCAAACTTAAGTAACTGAAAGACTAACTGAAGCCTGACCTTACTCTCCGCCACAGAGAGTAAGGGTGGGACTGAACCCACTCCCTGCTTCCCAGGTTGTCCGTGATGAGCACAAACAAACCAGCCTGATCTTACTCTCTGCCACAGAGAGTAAGACGGAAAGAAGGAAGTTCAGATAAAGGAAGCACCTCCTGTGTGTCAGTAATCTATCACTTGTATTCATTGGCTAGGGCTGCCATAACAAAATAGCACAGACTGGGAGGCTTAAACAACAGAAATTTGTTTTCTCCCAGCTTTGGATGTTGGAAGTCCAGGATCACAGTGTCAGCAGGGCTGTTTTTTCTGAGGCCTGTCTCCCCGGCTTGCAGATGGCTACCTTCTCACTATGTCCTCACATGGCCTTTCCTCTGAGAGCAAAGCCCTGGTGTTTCTCTGTGTGTCCTACTCGCCTCTTCTTCTAAGAGCACCAGTCAGATTGGATTAGGGCCTCTTTCTATCAGCCTTATCGTAACATAAACACCTTGATATGGTTTTGCTGTGTCCCACCCAAATCTCATCTTGAATTGTAGCTCCCATAATTACCTCCTGTCATGGGAGGGACCCTGTGGGTGGTAATTGAATCATGCAGGCAGGTCTTTCCCATGCTGCTCTCCTGACAGTGAATACGTTTCATGAGGTCGGATGGTTTTCTAAGGGGAGTTCCCCTGCACATGCTCTCTTGCCTGCTGCCATGTAAGACATGGCTTTGCTCCTCATTTGCCTTCCACCATGATTGTGAGGCCTCCCCAGCCATGTGGAACTGTGAGTCCATTAAACCTTTTTCCTTCATAGATCACCCAGTCTCAGGTATATTTTTATTAGCAGAGTGAGAACGGACTGATACACACCTTTTTGAAGAAGCCATCTCCGAATACAGCCATACGCTGAAGTGCTGAAGGTTAGGGCTTCAATGTGTGAGTTTTGGGGAGAAACAATTTAGCCCGTTACATCACTGTCATGACTTTTGCCCTGTCCTATTTTTTTACATTATGTTTTTGTTTTAGCTTATGGTTTCAACTTGGATAACCTACTTTAACTTTCTCTTAAGTAGTAGTATTATGGATCTAACACGTCAGTCATATATAGTATGACTAATGTACTTACAAATCAAACAGAACTATTAAAATTATTAAAACTCCATGTCTGCATCCACACAAAATCTATCTGTGTGTTGCTTTGGGAACCACTGATATATTGGCTGTAGTTTGGGTTTTGACGTCTGAAGACCTAGATTCAAGGCCCAGACCTATCCTCCACTGGCCGATGACCCTGGACAAGTCAATCAGCTTCTTTGAGTCTCACTTTTCTCATCTGTAAAATGAAAATAATCATGATAATCTTCTTCCATCACAGAGCTCAAATAACACAAGAGACACATCTAGTAACTTTCAGATTGTTATTTTTTTTTCTTCACATGAAGTGAAGACCTAAATATTCCTGAAAGATGTGAGTTAACAACATTACATACCAATGAGTTAGTCCAGGGGTCAACAGACTTTTTCTGTAAGGAGTCAGATAGTGAATAGTGTAGGGTTTGTGGACCATATGGTTTCTGTTGCCATTATTCAACTTTGCTGTTGTAACACAAAAGCAGCCATAGATAACATCTAAACAAATGGGGACGACTATCTGCCAATAAAACTTTGTTCACAAAAACAGGTGAAGAGCAGTGGTTTTGCAATCTCTGAGTCAGTCCTATAATGAAAATGTGTTAGATGATGACCCTGGCATTGGAGATGGTGGAGTTACTGTGTACAGGTCACTCAAAGAAGTGTGGGGAGAAAATTCCTCAGCCTATTAGAATGGACCCCGGCGCCACATATCCAACTGCTGCCTGACATCTCCACTTGGTCATCTGGTAGATATCTTCACTTAACATGTCTAAAGCCAAATTCTTCATCGACCTTCCCAGCACTCCTCACCTGTAGTCTTCTGTATCTCAGATGATAGGGATGATGGCAGATGATGGCAACTATGCCATTCCAGCTAAAAATCT